ACGATTTAGTCTCATGGCAAATACTCTCTCTCTCTCTCTCATTCTCATTATCTAATACAACGAAACCCTAACCATTCTTGCTGACCCACCATTTTCACTGACTCACCGGTCACCGCCGGTCATCTCTCTTCCAACGAAACCCTCTTCCTCTGTTCAATCAAATCCTATTCCAACCGAATCCGTGGACCTTCCCAGTGACCTGTTATGTTCAATTTCCTTCTATTTAATAAAATTACTTTATATTTTTTTTAAAAAAAGATAGTAAATAGAAAATAAACCTTTTTTTTTTTTAATTTAAAAGCGAAGAGGGTGATGAGATGCCATCTAGCCCAGAAAATATAATTGATAGAAGCTAAGGTGACAAGCCAAACAAAATCAGTTACAAATCGTCTGTTAACATTTCTAAAGTAGAAAAAAAGGGATCTAAAGGAAGCTCTTTACACATTCATATATGAATTCTGGTTGCGCCAAAATCAAATCCATGTCCATGGATTTGGAGGTTTGGGATGGAAAGAGACAGCTGATGGAGAGGGCTAACTGCTGCAAAGTATGGCCTGGATAGGGGGATTGGGTGATTATTACTTCTTCCTTGCCGTCCCTAGACTGCTCGATTTAGAAAGGGATTATGAATTTACTCCCCAGTTTCTCTGGGGATATTCTTTAAGGTGGGAAATGGATTTTGGCCGAGTTTTTGGTAAGACTTCTCCGCCCAATCACCAAATTAGTTACCCCTAGCAGTATTGTTGCCTGCCTAATAGACATGATTGTCACTTTGATCCAGCTCAAAATTCTTCTCAGACATGTAGTTAAGTCTAAGTTTTTGTTATTTATTTTACATTTAATAATGGTTTAGATGTCATGGATTAGCCAATGTACATTTATTCAATTTTCCTTTTATATAGGATATTATTTTAATATTTTCTCTCATTTTATTGGTTGAAACCTGAAAGTATTGGGTTATACTTTTCAGTAAAGCATATTTTTTTAATTTTACTTTATTATTAAATGTTCTTTTTTTTGTATCTAATTTGTAAATTTGTGTTGTTTTATTGATATCTATGTTATTTTTGTTTGTTATTTAATTTTTTCTATACTAATTATGTAGTCTAAGTAAAGGATAGAATGATACAAAGTCTCCAAACCATAATAAAACGGTTTGGTTTGATAATTGGTTTTGTTTTTATACAAAACGGTTTGATTTAGTCTGAAATTTTTCTAAACCGTAATTTATTGGTTTGGTCTGAAATATTCTCTGAACTGGACCATGAACACTCCTACCTCACACTAACCCCACAGCCCATCCCAGTCGTGAATTAAGAAGATATTCCCAATGCACGGCTAAAAGTATTATAAGATTGGTCTGAGGCACGTTTTGTGAGAAACAAATCCGGTTTCCTTTCGAACCTGGCCAGCTTAGTCAGGTTCGTCTAAACTCTGACAAACGACAAAATTTTTCCTTTTTAATCCCCTTTCTTTTTCTGGTTAGACGTCCAAAACCAATCATCTTGCCCATAAAAATGAAGAATCACATTGGACGGCTCACATAAAAAGTTGTGATCTTTGGCCCTTAGTTCGCTCCCACCTCCACACATATATAAAATGCTTACAGCTATCATGGGATGTGATATTCTCCCAAAGCAAAACGTGTTGTGTTATTGGCTTATTGCCCGGACCTCATCATCTACTCAACTCATTTACCCTACCCACATCATACTCGCACATCACAATAAGCCAATTTACCGTCTGTTGTCGACACTGATAAAAATGTATTAAACCAGCTCTTTTGTCGGGTTCCGGACTTTCAAAGAGACAGATTATCTCAGTCAGATCAGAATATAGGAAAGAAATAGACAACAGCTCGTGAGAGATGGTCGCCTGGTCGGCTATCACATTGTTATGGTGGATCCCATGCACCGAGTTTTATAGCAAAATAACAAGAAAACCAATCATTATATCCCAACAAGGCAACAACACAACAAAACCAACGTGTAGATAGAATAAGCAAAGACGGCTTAATATCTCATACCAAAACCCTATTGGCTGTTACTCTAGAGATCCTGTACTGTACCCACCGCCCTCGCAGATTCGTCAACAATATAGATACAGCGAGAACGAGAATGAAGAATGTTGCTTTGGCTTTGCTCTCCTGAGCCGCACTTACCGCTGCCTGGACTGGACCTGGACCCTGTCACACGCACGCGCATGATAGCGAAAGTATAGCTAGCATATGACCAAGACATTGCGATGTGGTCACTTTCGTAATTCGTACTCTATAAGGTACGAAGCCCTCGCCACCTAATCCCACTCTGCCCTCCCTCCTCCTCTTCCCTCACACCTTAATACCTAGTCCTTTTTTTATATTATATAAAATAAAATTCTCAATTGAGTCAATTCCGATTGTTTTGGGGTCGATTTCAGGAATCCCCCTCCTTGTCTGAAAGAGCCAAGGCGTTTTGTAGGCCTCGACGTTGGATCCACGTAGCTAAGGCTAAGTTGCTGAAAATAGTAAACTGTAAAAGGACCGTTCACATCAATAGTTTGCTTCAACCACACGTTAGCTTGTCGCGAACCCGAATAAAATGTAAACGAAGACAAGTTTGTTTGCCGAACAAAACAAGATTAGCAAAAAGAAAGGAGGGAGGGAAGGAGGGTTCGGTTTTGTCTCTGAGTTTGAAATTTTGAATGCAAAAGTGTTCCATAGATGTTGATGGATAAGTGGGCCCAAGTCCAATATTATTATATTAAGTTGTTAGTGGTCCTTGGTCGTTTGGAAGCTAAAGTTCGGAGGATTGAAGAATGTTTTATTTATTTTATTTAAAGGTATGAATGGGATGCTCCCTCCCTATACCCAGGCCCTATAATATTAATATATATGTTCCATGGCCTTTTAGCTCCAACCATTCAAATGGCACGTAGCCCAAAATATTTAGACTGACCGGACAGATCTGGTGGCCCATGGTCTGAACCTTTTCGGCCGGACACATCAGCTATGAAGGTCCCTTACTTGAACCTTTTTCTACTGTTTAGATATATATGGGCGGCAATTCTCAGTTTCTCACCTCAATCCAGAGTCCAGATCATCGCTTTCTATTTCACAGGATTTTGCCTGGTTAAATATAACTCAACCAAATTAATATGATTTTGCTCGCTTAAATATGTATCTAAATCCTAACATGCAGGGTTGGTGACTTGGTTGCATCATCAGCTTCAAGAACTAGTGGATACATGTGTGAATTTCATGGCTTAGTACTTGCCCTACCCAGAATTCAGAGACTAATCCGTCGATACGGTTTTTAGATTAGGCAATAGGTTTAACGGTCCAACCATCCGTTCTGGACTGGGCCCCACAAAGATAGAGCGGCTCAATTACCAAACATCCGTTGGGGGGGGGGATTTTTTAGTTGTATGGCTTCGGTTGGACCACAGAGATCACGCTGGTCGATGGTAAAACAAATGGTTCGGGGGATGCTGATTGCTGATTGCTGACTCCTGACTGACTGGTAAGTGATAACTACTGTACTTGTTTCTTTTAGACTGGACAATAACATTCATGCTATTGTCTTGGTTGGGCAGATTATGGGACAATGTGCCGTTGACAGAAGTGGCAGAAGTGGACAGACAGAACTTATCTTGAGCTTGGAGTCCTTCAGTTTCATGCGAGTTAGGATCATAAGTTCATAATTCACGGCTAATGTATATATTTGAAATCTCTAATTCTAAGAGCTTTTGGCTTCTCTTCTTGGAGTCGACGCCTGGAGTCTCTGGACTCTGGACTCTGGACTGGATAATAAGCAAATTAACAGTACGTGGATCGATCGTTTAAGTATAGAACATAAGTTTAGGTTAAAGCAGCAAGCAAGGTTTCTCCAAGAGGGAGGGAAGCGGACTCCGTCTGCAGATTCTACTTGGGTCAATTCCAATAGTGGAGTAATGTCTAGTTTGATCCAGGTTTGTAGTGTAGTTAAACAAAAGAGAATTTTGCAGACGGAAGATAAAGATAGGAATAACGCGGGTTGAAGTTACCGATAACAAACTGTACTTCACAGGTATATCAAATTATCATCCCATCACAATCTAATCATTGCAACTAAAACTAGTGAACTGATTGAAAGCCTGAGATCACGTGCTCCGACTGGGGGAGTATTCATTCCATTGCCCGGAGGGTTGAGCGTTTGCGTTACGTAGATTCCCAGTCTGACGGACGCTGGGCTGGACACTGGATACTGGACACCTCGTGCTTTCTCTCACCGGCCAGGACTCATCATGTGATGCACCAGAAAGAAAGTTTTTTACTTCTCTCACCGGCCAGGACTCAGCACGCTCGACTCGTTTTAATTTTGAATTTGGTATTGCAGCAATAAATTAAAGGAGATTGGAGTGGAGGAGGAGTTTTTAGTAAATAAACCAATTTCTTTATTGACGAAATTACCCTTACCAATACACGTTTTGTTTTCAAGGTAAGGATCACCGAATCCAAAATGTTCAGATAAAGTTTACATGGAAGCGACGAGGGAATTATGGAAGGGAAGGTCTGCACGTGCCTGAAGAACTGGGCCAGGGAGAGAGACACGTGAGAGGGAATCTATCCTTTGCTTGGAGATGGAGGCGAGAGGGAAGGGGTCCTCCACTCCTCTAGGCTGGGGAGTGAGGGAGAGTGTGGGGCCAAAATGGAGTGCTGCTTTCGGTTTGCTCTTTTTCGAGGTCCCAAATATTCCCAGTGACGTTCGTGACATATGACGGACGCCGTGATAACTGACGTGTTTCTCCCCACAAAAGAATCCTATCCCCGACGGCCATGATCCAACGGCTCACGCTGTCCTCGAGCCAAGCATTGATGATGACATCATCGCGCATCAGGACCGTTGCAGTTGCGTCGCAGCCGGGGTTCTAGTCAAGCTGGGGCAAAAGATGTGAACTGACGGACGAGGGTGGGCCCCTAAGAGTGCAGTAGCTAACCACCGACGATGAGAAGACCACCGTATCTGTAATCTGTATCTACTCTGCTCCCCCCCACTACCTTTTTCTTCCTTCTTATTGACAGCCCCTCTCGCAACCATACAAACCAATCAATTCTCACTCAATTCCCCCCCGATTCCCACTGCTCCTCACCGCTCTCTCCTCCTCCGTCCTCCCCTCCCCCTCCTCCTTCTGTTCAACATCCTCATCTCTGATCCCTCTCTGCTACCGGTTTCTTCCCACTGTAACACCCTTACTCCTATCACATCCTTTACAGAGTTTATCTTTCGAAGGGGGTGTTTGGCCGTAACTAGTTGATTTGGCTTCTTCTATGCTGGCTTCGTTGAATGGGCCTTACCTCTCTCCAGGTCTGCATGGACACATCCGACTGGTTACAGGTACCCTTGCATTATCCCTTCGGCTCTTTTACATCAACTAATTTCCTTTTAATTATCACCATTATCATAAACTTCTTCTGCTACTAATATCTTCTTTTTTGTTATTCAGACCTTTCTAATTAGTTTTCTCTTAATTTGTTTATCAATGCTTTCTAGACGGGAGAGCTGTTTTAATGCTTTAAGCCTGTTGTATTGAATATTAAGATCTACGGAAAGCTAAGTCAGTTTATGAGAAATAAGAAGAAAAGGAAGAAATCTGTTTGATCATGCTTCTTTCATATGTAATTTACTTTATGGAATTTTAGACATGCACAAGCACACACAGAGTTGCAGATCGATTCGGAGAACATTAGTACATTACTTCCCTCTAAGATGATTAGATTGACAGACTGTCTATAACTATATGATAGAGAGAACCAGATGGGTGATATATTTGAGCTTATAATGCCAAAAAAATTAAAGAAAAAGGAAACCCTAGTTACATTAGAGATGATGCTAAATATAGTTAAGTAGATTAGTAGAAGACAATGGCAGATGAAATGAAACTGTAGATATGTTAAAAAATTTGTTAAGCTGTTAATGCTGGAAGTTATAGAAAAAGCCTAATATCATGGAACTGAAAATGAAAGTGTGAATTCTAGATATGTTCTCGAATTTTGTGTTCCAATAACAAGTTCTAGGCACTCTGCGAGTCTGGCCTTCTGACATTCTGACATGATAATGAAAAGACATGGAATGTCTAATCGCGGATTGTTTGTATCAGCAATCTGACACATTTGTCATGTATTTTTTATATCTGAAATTAGGGCGTGGTTCACGAGGAAAGCGGAATGGATTCTTCCTCGCCTTCTGGGGACATGATCACATGCTCGAGACCATTGCTTGAGAGGAGGCTGAGGCCTCAACATGATCAAGCACTCAAGTGCCCGAGGTGTGAGTCAACTCATACCAAGTTCTGTTACTACAACAACTACAGTCTCTCCCAGCCAAGATATTTCTGCAAGACCTGTAGAAGGTATTGGACGAAAGGAGGCTCTCTCAGGAACATTCCTGTTGGTGGTGGATGCAGAAAGAACAAGAGGGTGGCTGTTAAGAAATCAGCAGATCAACCACTTAATCAGCACCCCAGTTCATCCTCACACGACGCGACAGATCTGCAACTTTCGTTTCCTGAGATGCAATTGTCACACCTAACCAGTCTGTTCGGGAACTCTGGAGGTCTTGGAAACCCTAGCTTCATCGACAACAAGTACAATGCCATGGTGGAAAACCCCAGATCGATCGATTTCATGGAGAGCAAATTTGATGCCGTACTTGGAAACCCCAGAAGCCATGATTTCATGGGAAGCAATGAGCTAGGTCTTATGGGTGGTCCAGGAGATGTTGGTCTTGGTCATGGGTTCACACCTTCTAACCTTCATGGTCTGTGTTCTCCATTTGGGTTCGCCCTCGAAGGGAGTAGCAATACCTTCATGGACACTTGCCAGAGGCTAATGCTTCCATTCGGAGGCACTACTGAAGATCCAAATGCTGTAGAGATGAAGCCGAACAACAAGCTCCTGTCCCTCGAGTGGCAAGATCAAGGTTGCTCCGAAGTTGGAAAAGATTCATTTGGGTATCTGAACAGTCTTGGTTCATGGACTGGTGTGATGAATGGTTATGGATCTTCTGCTACAAATCCACTGGTCTAGACTGCTTCAGCTACTACTTAGTATTTTCCAAATGAATGAAAGGCCTTCCTGATGTTGCTTGATAAAGGTGGTCTTCCCTTTACTTACCAAAGAAAGGTCTGAAATTTGAATGAGGAAGACTAGAGAAGAGAAAATATGTTTCAGTCACTCTCTGTCTTCGTTTTGTTTTCTTTTTTGTTGTTTCGGTGGTGTCTGAGGAGTTAAGACATTCAAAGATGTAGGATTTTATGGTTATACGAGGAAATGCTTTTAGAAGGATAGTGTCTTATTACCTCCTTTTATGCTTGTTTTTGTCTGTGGGTTGTTGAATTGTTGATGAAACGTTTATTGTATGGATGTGGAGAGAATCGAGAAAGGAATGGAAATTGGAAAAGCGGAGGTTTCAGCGAAGAAAATTCTCTTGAGTGGTGTGTCACTGCATGTGATTCCTGTGTCCTTTGATGCCTTCTCTGTCCTCAGCTCCTGATTTATGACAGTATTGAGTCTATTGACTGTTGACTGGACAACTCAGTTCGAACCGGTCCCGAGCCGTAAGATTTGTAAAGTCTACCTGATATCGCAGCTGAGGGGGGAATATCTTGATTTTGATGCATGTTGCATCATGCAACTCGTTTCTGGTTTATATATGTCCTGTGAGAGAGATAATCGAACCATTAATTTACTGATAAACACACGCTGGATATACTTGGTGAGAACTAGGTAATGGGATTTGGATTTGATGGCCCATACTTTATTACGTAATCTTTCGACAACTTGTTTCAATAAAATCAAAATCATGCTTTCTGGGTTGTGGCGATTTCAAAACAGCAACATTTGTTTAAAAATCCCGGCTTCCAATATTTGGTCTAATTCTAATTAAGAATTGTAATGGATTGGAGATTCACAAATCCCAGGCTAGTTGCCTTTGGAATCAAATCGTGGAAGAAAATTAACGACGACCCATGTTTTGAGCATGCCATCCACTTCCCTGTTGCATGTTCAATTGATAAACCTAAGAAAACAGGAATTAATTCTTGGATTATGCAAGGGGAAAAGATAGACTATGTCATTTTCTTTGTGTTTTCCATGAACAAAAAAAGAAGAAATATTCCTTCAAGAAATCCACTTCCCAACTGGCCAACATCTCTTATTAGAAAAATATTTGCCTTCTTTAAACTATCACATCATTTTTCTAGTAGAGTTTCTAAAGTTAAAAATATGAGTAGGCTTATCTGAAATTCCCCCAAGAAATCCACTTCCCATCTTTGTTTTTCACCCAACCACACAGAACATTTATTGTTGTTGTTTTCTTAATGGGTCACCATTCTCTTCTTCTTCAAACAATACTGGACTAATCGCGCAATATTGAACTGTCCAATTCACGAACCACACTGATAAAAAAAGAAAAACATGAACCACATTGTTTCATCACCCTAATGCAATTCATCCGCATAACGCACACTTCAAATGAGTTCATTTTCCTTCCTTTTAGAAAGGAGGGAATGGTTCTTTCGTTGGCAAATAAAAAAAGCAAGCCACATCGTCCTTATTAATTATTACCATGAGAAGTTTATCATATTTCAGCTACGCATGTCGCACGATGTGGCTTTGGGAAAAAAGGAGCATTCCCTCCTTTTTAAAAAGAGTTGAAGTTTTTAACTTGAAATTCATTGATCTATTTTATAGGTACCCAGACATAAATTTCGGAGGAAAGGGAAAGAAATCTGCTACGAGGGTGAAGCTACAGAGCTTAAAGGATCTTCTGATGTTAAAGAACTGGAAAATACAGTAGATGTTCTAGTGCTGTTCATATTTGTAAAACTGTAATAGGAGAGCCGCAGAGGGTTAATTGATGTTAGTTTTAGCTATTAGAACGTTTAATTGATATTCCTGATTCATTGCACCTCATGGAGATATATACATTGTACCAGTTGGAGACTTCTCAGAAACTGATCGAATTCCAAGAATTATTAAATCTTCTTTTCCCCCTTTACAGGAAATAGCAAATAGGCGGTTCAAAGCCTACAAAAATTGGATATATACATGTCATACACACCTTTTTTTGGATTCGGATGTACTAGTCACTTTAGGTAAGCCTATGTGACACATATTCCATTTAATGTGTATTTATATAATAATTATCCATTATTTTATTATTTTTGTTAAAATAATTAAAAATAAAAATAATATAAAGGAAAAATCTAAACGTATTGTGATTGGGACTCATTTAAGTTTTCCTTTTTCATTGTTTTTTATTTTTAATTATTTTGATAAAGATAATAAAATAATGAAAAATTTCTGTATAACAGAACAAAAACATTTGAATAAAAGGTACATTAACTAGGACATTATCACACAACTATTATGTGCTCAGTCATTATGCTTCCTTAACGTGTTTACAACATCGGGACCCTTTTTTTTCCTTGAAAACAGAAACTCTGTGATATTAATTTTGGGTCATTTTCTCCTCTCCAAGCTCCATATTCTCTCCATTTATATCAGTCCTGATCCTGTCGGAATCATTACATAAAAGAATGAATTCTTGATTTTTCTGATTCTGAGAAACAGCGTTTGGCAAAACGATCCTCAGAGTTGTAATTCTGCAGTTTTGCACGTGGGAATTTTGTTACACAAATTAGGGACAGGTGGCGTGCCCATATTGGGTGATAAGCAATGGACACACATTAATGGAACTAGCTGATAATGGCTGTAGTTCTAGGGTTAAACGTATGGAGTCTGGGCTCTTGGGTTTTGAGAAAAAGGAAAAAGCAGTGGTGAAGGAGATTCGATCAAAAAACCATATTAATTCTTTGTATAGGTTTTTCCTAAATGGTCTCTCGTTTGGAAAAAGGGGTTCTTCTGCTTGTGTTGTTCAAGCAGGATTGGGCCGTTGATGTAGGAGTTGGGACTGAAATTGCAACTCATTTAAGTTTTCCTTTTTCATTTGTTGGACTGAAATGCTCCCTCAACATGGGAAGAAGGATTGGGCCGTTGATGTAGGAGTTGCAATTTAGGACCAACTCATTTTGATCCACCCACAAGCATGGTTTTTAAAAACGAACTGGTGACCAAATCGGTCAGGGGTCCGTTACTGGTTCGAATGGTCCGACCATTTGACTCAAATGGTTGGTTTATTCTAACAAAAAAAATTTAAAAATTAGAAAATGATCAAAACCATTCGGACGATTAATCAGCCAATTTAGCGGTTTGCTGACTAAAATCAACGATTTTAGGGAAAAACGGAACCGGCCAGATGATCGATTCCCGATTTTTCCGGTTCGGTTTTGAAAACAGTGCCCACAAGCCCAACCCATCCAATTGGGCACTTACAAGTTACAACCCAATTATTTAACAAGAGGGTCGGATATGGATCCAGTAATCCATTGGGTCACATAGTAAGGGTTTCGGTATTTCGGTGAAGGGTATGAGGTATCCATAGCCCATAGGGTCGTCGTTGGGGCTTCCAACGCTACTCTGCTCTGCAACTCTCTCCACCTCCGCATCTGGCTATTTGCAGGAAGACAGGGAAGTTGTGGGGCTAGCTCCTCCAACGACCAGCATTAATCAGTGTGTTTCCCTTCTTCTTCTTCTTCTTCTTCTTCTGCATATTTGTATTTTAGGGCACTAATCTAGTATTCCTTGACGTGTAATCATCATTAGTCCTATTTGTGCTATTTAGAGGTTGTTCCATACACTATTTAAGTGAATTATTTATATTTTACATAACTTAACGGGAAATAAGACCAGTAGGTTTCTTTTTGATCAAAACCAGTGGATTTCTCATTCTGATGTTATCACTTAATTGGTTCATAGGATATTTTGGTTTAGGGTTTTTTTTATTCATTATGGTTTTCTAACAGGTGTTTGATAGTCATGCATAATGTATTTGCGTTTCATTTTGGATTAGAACCCTTAAAATCATCATAATGGAGATATCACCGAATGTGTAAGGAGAATAAAAACGATTTCATATTTTTGATCTCAAAGTTACGTTGTTTCTATTTTTCTAATACTTTCCTGTAATAACTAATAACTCAAGAACTCATTTTGAGATGATAGATTTATCTATTTGAAGACAATGGGAAACTATAATTGAAAATGATTTAGTATGATTTCCTGAGACCCTGTTATTGGTCTGGTCAAGGTTTAAAAACTCAAATGATCATGTCTTCCTACTGTAATGTCCAATAACCAATCTATGTCGGCACGAAGAAGAAGGTGTACAATTAGCTGAAAAAGTTGCTTTTTTCTTTTTTCTTTTTTTGATGGAAGATGTACTAATGCATAACACTAGCTGAAAAAGGTGTACAATTAGCACTATAATTTAGTGCACATGAGAAAACTTATGGTGTTCAATGAATTCTATCTAAGCAGTAGCAAAATTCTCTCAAGGTATACAAGCCAAATATCGTTGGTCATCATGGGGGTTGAGTCTGAACATCTTGTGCAGACTTCATCAATGCTTGCCACGGCTTGAATAAGAGAAAGATAGAGCTTCCCTTTAGGTGAGGTAAAGCAAAATTTGTAAATTTCCTTCTCCATTCTATACTCAACTTTCCAGCCTAAATATAAGAGATGCATCTTAGCTTCTTGTATGGTACTAGTATGCTTGTTCCCATTCTTCAGGTTATGTGAATATTTAGCAATTGTATCAGGGAAGTAGTTGGCTCCAGGAATCAGGTTAGGGACCACAGGTAGCAATATATTGTTTGCACTCAATGCCATACGTTCAGGTTTGTCATTTGGCTAACTGTACCTGAATCCTTTCTGATTTTATGAATCATCTAAGCAGTAGCAATAAAAAATGGCATGTTGTCATTTGACACCAGATGCCAAATGTCCAGACTCAGAACCCCCATAATGACCAACTGTCTAAGCAGTAGTCAAAAAAAAAAAAAGAAGTCCATCTAAAAATCTCCATCCATGAACATGAGATCCAAACTAACAGAACTGAAGACCTTATGTTTAGGGAGTTTGATATTTTGAAATGTTGAAATTAACAGACTTAAAATTCCATTTTGTATGGGTATGTTTTTATGAAAACCATTGTTATCTGGTGAAGCCTTGCACCCCCACCCCCACTTTAGACGCTTGGTGGATGCCATGGAATTATCTTAGAAGTTAGAAACTACTTTTTTTGGGCTGGATCCATTGCCTAGGAGGGTAAGTGATTAGGTGCTCCTTGTCACCTAACCTCACGTATATGCCTTGGAAACCATGGATATACCCCATGATGGCTCACAACTCACTCATTGAGACTCTGCTCTGGCTAGATGATTGGCTCAAGATAGGATGGTCCAGGTATGTAATAGAAAGAAACAGAGGTTCTAAGAAATTACGAAGTTGAATTTGTTTCCTCTGAGTATCATTTCAACTGCCTATTTCCTGCCTATTTTCTGTAAGGGGGAAAAGAAGATTCAATAATTCTTCCTTTTTCACTTTTGAGAAGCAACATAAAATAATATATAGTTGGAATTCAATCAGTTTCTGAGAAGTCTCCAGCTGGTACAATATATCTCCATGAGGTGAGGTGCAATGACAAAGTAAAAGACCTTTATGATATTCTTTTCAACGTAAGATACTGATATATTTATGTGCCTTAACTTGAATAGAATTATGCTTTTACATAAAAGAGAGTATTATTTCTTCTGTTATATAAAGTAGTTGTCTTGTTGATGTATATATCTTTAATTCTTTGTAGGTGACATTTTGGACTAACCTCAAGGCCCTCAACAAAAGGAAGTACAGAGCCTTCATTTGCACCAATTGTTGTGACTAGGTGGCCGGGGCAGTCACCATGTTCTAAGCCATTTCCTTCTCATGCAACTCTGCATTTACTTGCTTGCTTAACCATGAAGCTCTTTGCCTTCCTCAGAATTGTCCGTGCCCCTCCAACTCTCTCTAGGATAACTGGTCCACTTCAGTTTCGTCTGTTCCAACCTGATTTTGTTCCCAGAGATCCCAAGGCCAAGCCGAAGAGGTACAAATACCCTGCTTTATATGATCCATATGGCCCTAAACCCCCACCTTGTGATAAGATCATTCAGCTTGCTGAACGTATTGCTACCCTACCCCCTGATGAACTCAAGCAGATAGGTCCAACTCTACAAGCCAGATTAAGGCATCCCAAAATGCAACAGATTGCAACAGAGGGAATGGACTTGGGTCAGGGTGGGCCAACTGCTGGATCTGCGAAGGCTGAGGAGAAGAAGGTGGAGAAGACAGCTTTTGATGTGAAACTGGAGAAGTTTGATGCAGCAGCAAAGATCAAGGTGATCAAAGAAGTCAGAGCATTTACCAATCTCGGGTTGAAAGAAGCTAAGGACTTGGTTGAGAAGACACCAGTCCTATTGAAACAAGGGGTCACCAAGGAGGAGGCGAATGGCATAATCGAGAAGATAAAGGCTGCGGGTGGCGTTGCAGTAGTGGAGTAAGTCTCACATATGCAAGTTTTCCTAATTTTTAGCTTTAAATGCCCCGTATTTTTTAGGTTAAATTACAGATTTTTTCACTGATGCAACACGTCTTCAGAACGAAAAGCTTCATTGTTGGAGTTCCTAAAGAATGTTACTTTTGACTCAATGAAATTCTATCATTTAATTTAAGTTTTTAGTTTAGAATGTCGCTTGTCTGCCATGCCTGTTGATATTATTTTTGGAGTAGGTGAGGGGCGAACGCCTGCCTTGTAGCATTTAGAGCCCCCTTTAGATCAAATCATATCCATTAGGATACGCGAAAACAACTGTTGACAGGATGCTTCTGCTTTGGAAAGATTGGATCTAGTATTAGGGCCCGTTTGGTGCGTCTTTCGGCTGTTTAGACTGAAAATCGGTTTATTTCTGTTTAGCATGCGGAAAATCTAGCTGTCAAAAGACGGGATGCCAAAAAGACGCGAGAAGCTGATTTTGGGAAGCTCCAAATGAAGCTTCTCGCGTTTTTTAATATCGTACGGAAAGACCCAAAATGACACACGAAAAGATGCACATCTGCCAAACGGTCTTTGGGCTTCTCAGATCTTATATCAAAAACTCAATGTGTGTTTTGACTATCAGAACTACAAAAAGATTTTTTCAAAAAGACTTGTCAAATGGACCCTTAATCTAGAATTGTCTGTCGTGAACGAATCACCATCTTTTTTGATCAGAGATTCCAAAGGCACTCAACAGGATGCTTTCATAAAGCCGGATTATCGATAGGAGCCTACGGTGATCAAACGTGCATCTTAAATTTTAGGACACAGGTGTCTTACCTTATATTGGTATACTGTGGTCTTGTTGTTGGCAAGTTTGGCTATGCAAAATAGTTCTTCTTGGACCAAATTTTTGGTGGATCAGTTAACCAGTAACCACTGATGAGATAGATATTTTACACGGTAGAAGAAGTAAAACACGTATGAGGGTCAAATCCATGCATCATGGGAATAAAAAATTTTCATGTTGGGATAATTTTCCCAAAAAGAAAGAGAAAAAAAATGCTATTCCTAGGCTCAAGAACTGTAAATTCAACTGATATCGTCATCGACAAGGCATTACGTTTAAAGATCATAGTAATCCAACGGAATTTGCTGAATCTCTTCTAAATGGTTGTCCTATATCCGTCTGGATAGATAAATTCAAAAATTAAATAGCTTTTCCATGTTTTCTAAAAAAATTGCAAAAATATTTTCACAAAATTCAGTTTTCCAGCTTCTCAGTTTTGTTCTGCTTGTGTATTGTCAGAGGTGTGGAATGATGTTCCACTCTATTGTTCATCTCCATTGCTTTAATAGAAAGTCTTTTTAGTGAAAAATAAGTTTCAGACGTTAGCATTAGAAGCAACAAAGCAATTAATTAATTTCTAGTGTAGTGCTATTGGGTACCAATGGATGCATGTGAAACCATATTATTGGGGTAGAACCAGCTCCCATTTGTTGTGATCACACTGCAACCGACTCCAGTCTGTGCACAGTTGTACTGAATATTGTTTTGAATCTTATTCTCGTCCATCTGAAAATGATCATTTCCAGTCACATTTGCTTCGCATTAGGAATGCTAATACATGGCCTCCAAGGAAGAAGGAAAAAAAAAGAATAAGAAAATAAAAAAGAAAAGAAAAGAAAAGAAAAGAAAGAATTGCATATTTTAAAAATTTAATCAACAGTTAAGGGTAATTTGGTCCTTTTAAGTTATTGGTTAGAATTAACTTTTGAAAGGTAAACAGTATGCTTTTAAAAGTTCAGGGTATATATAAGGAGTTTCTTAAATATACAGGGTATATATAACCAATTAACCCTAAAAACAAACACATTTTCCTTGTTTGTAGCCGTGGGCTGGACTCTCAACTCTGCATCTTCGACCGGGATTGATGTAGTACTAGACCGCTAGTGTGTAACTTTAGTTTCTGAGCGGAGATTGTTGGTAAAGTGGTTAACTCTTTAAAAAGGTAGGAGGCCATTGAATATTGAGTATACAACAACAACAACAACAACAACAA